TATTATTTTATATATTTATTGGATAATAACATAATTAAAAAAAATAAAAATTGAAATGAGCATGCACTACTAATCAATTAAAAATTACATAATTTTTATAAAAAAAATATTTTAAAATTTAATTTTTTTTAATTGTGTAGTAATTCATAATTAGATAATAGTGAAAAATTAAACTTTTATAATTAAGTACATTTATATTTTATGTGGATTTAATTTATATGAAATATTGATATATGACTATCTACACATCAAAAAAGTTAATCTAATAATCTAGAAAATATATAAAATAATATCCCCACCTTCAAATATTAGATTTTTTTTAATAAAGATTTGTTCGTGTATTTTATCAAGATAATCGAACTCAGTATAAACAGATTTATAATAATTCATTTACCATGATCAACAAACCCTTTTCATATAATTTGTTTGTCGAAGACTTCTTTCAAATTTATTCTTCCATGCAGCCCATTTTTTTAATTGAATTCATTTTTTTTTTACTAAAATACATTTAATTGTTTAAATGTCTTTTAGTCAACAAATAATAAATATCAAGAGGAGAACACGACTAGCTACAAATTATTTAGATGAATTGTACAAGGATAAAAAAAAACTATGAATTGTGTAATTATAACTCTTACTTATTAAATAAATAGGTAAAAAGTAATTAAGTAGAAAATTAATATAATAAATATGAAAGACAAATTTTAAAAATATAAATTATTAATAAATTAATATTGTTAACTAAATGTCTAAATGGATTAACATTTTTTAATTATTGTGAATTACTATAAGAATATAGGGAAGGAATGTGGCACATTAAAATGTAAGGAATAATAAGAAATATAAAGGAGCCTACATGTAGTTAGACTCTCACAAATCGTGAGTTTAATGTTTTGCTTGGGTCCACCAAAAGGAATGATTTTGTCATCAACATTTCATAACTTTCCAGGCAACTATTAATATTGTATAATCATAAATCTACTCAAACATAATATATATTAGAAAATAAATGATTTACAGAACGAAACTCTTAATTTTCTTATTCTTTTATATTTTTCACATTCTCTCTTTTTTCTTTCTTTTTATGTTATTTTATACATTTTTTTTTGTAATTAAACAAAAAGTATCTCAATTTTTGGAACTATTTTTATTTTGTTTTACTTATATACTTATTTTTTACAGAAAATATTTAATTGTTAAATAAACCAATCTTGGCATTTTGTGCACGACACCCAAACACACATTACCCATTGCCATCATAATAGTTGTCATATGCCAATAGTGTCTAATTATTGGCATCTTAAAAGATTAATTTTGTAAAAAAAAAAAAATTAATAAAGAGAAAGTGTCCATGCTTTATTGTGTGATGAACATGTGGGGTGAACTTTTAGTCTTTAAAGAATTTTTTTTTTATTTGTGCATTTTGTTAATTGATTTTGGGTAATAGGTGAAAGTAATAGTAATATTTCACACTTGCTTATTGCTGATTAGTGATTACTAACTGTTTCAGGCCAAAGTTGTTTTTTTTTTTTTTATCATTATTTTTGATTTTGTTAATATATTTGTTAGATGTTTTGGGATGATGCCGGCGACGATGTGCGGCGGTTTATGGCAAAAGCCTTTGTCATAAGCTCGTTTGATGCGATTCATGCGAAGGTGACTAATAGTGATACCATTTCTTTTGTTGATTCCTAAAGGTGGATAAACATGCCTATTTTAAGGACTTCTATATGACATATGATCAAGGAGATTGAGAACAATACAAGTAACATTAACAACTCAAAATTAGATATAAAATGAACTTCGGGATAAAAATTGGTGGGTCCAGTTGGACATCCTAATCTATTTAATTTATCTCATGTATCTCGTTAGTTTGTTAGGTTAAATAGTGGGTTAGGTTGATTTGTCTGTTTTTATTATTGTTTTATTTTTAATATTAAATTTAAATAAGTCATATGATATTTATTATGTGAGTAATTTCTAATTTGTTGTATAATAAATATGTTATGCAACAAATATGTTAAACATTTTATTTATTTTATTATATGTAATTTGAGATTTTTTGTTCAACAAAATTGTTGAAAGAGTTATTATTATTATTATTATATATCTATTTTATTAGGTAGCAAGTTTGATATTTTTATATAGCAAATCAAATCAAATATGTTGAGATATATTTTATTAATTATGTACACTAATTTATGTGGGATCATTTAGATATTGAGAAAAAAAAATATGCTAAAAGACATACCTAAAATAAATATATGAACTTGTGGAGAAAAAAGACACACACTAGAATATGGTTGAATAATGTGTATCAAAAACTTATATGTTTGAGCAGCAAAGAAAAAAAAAAACTTATTAGACAAAGTGCTAGAGAAATGTCAAATGAAACACTAGAATTTTTATACTGGTTTGTCTCAACCATGGAAATTATGTCCAATTTTCAACCAAATCATATTGAATTTTACTATCTTTTAGACAAGATACAAGTATTCTTTCAACAAATCACTTATGGCTCAATCCTAAGTAGTCTTTGACTTGTCTCTTCAAGCAACTACACAAATATTCTTTGAATAACAAGCCTCTTCAGGCTTGGTACCAAGTATTCTTTCAAATAAACCTCTTCAGACTCAACACCTAGCATTTTTTAAACAAGTCTCTCCAGACTCAACCTTTACAACAAAGGTTACAAAAGATTATGAGATTGTTTTGTTTCTTTTAGACGTGTTGCAACCAACAATGAAAGTACAAATGATCTATAAAAAAGTATATATAAAATTCACAATGAATGTTTCTTTGTATACATATGTTTATTTTCTTGTTTCTCTGTATATTTTTTCTTTCTTTAAGGCTTGATCTTTATATAGTAGCTTTAGAGAAGATGATTGTTGCGGTAATTTGAGTTGAACTCACAAGTTGCTTCACGAGTTGCTTTGTTTGTCTTCACTGTTGATCATAAAGGAAAAAGATTATTGTTGCTTCATTAAATGTGAGCATTAAATATTTTTTAGTAAAGCGTGTATCTCTTATCTGATCTAGAAAGTTACTTATCATCATTTCTTTCTAAAATGGACATAACAGAAGTAATGTTAGTGTAGAGTAGTTAATGTCAGCATAGAGTAGTTCTTATAGAGCCTTTTTCTTTGCTTTTTTTTCTTCTTCATGATATCCAAGATTTTGTTGTTTGATTCTAACAAATAATTTGAATTTTCCTTTTTTAACAGATTTGTGAGTTCTAAGACGTCTTTCTTGTTTGATCTGTTAAGGAATAAAACACTTAATAGAATTCACTGTTAGTCTCACTTAGGAATATCCGTTTAACATATAATGAGACAAACTATATGCTTTGTCCGACTCTCTTCATCTAAGATTTTGAAGAAAAACCAAATGAGCAAATTTGATTGAAAACCAAGATTTCTCTTATAACACATAATTTGTCGTATTCTCTTAGTTCTATCAAATAGACATTATATAGCATTTGTGACAAAATAAGGTATCAAAACATTTATCTAAACTATATATTAGAGCATACAATTTTTATGCATTCATATATAACAGAGCAAGTCTATTTATGTTCAAGAATTTAACAAATTTATGTGAGAGAAAAAAAATTAGATTTATCAAAGCTTTGTCAGATTTATTAGAGCTTGTTTTATCTTGATTTAAACAAAGCATTCAGACAATTAGATCATTTATATAATGTCTTAGACAATATGCAATGCATAGGGAACTCCCTTGAAAACATGCATGACGAATCATAGTATGAAAATGTCATAGTATTCAAGACAAAGTATCAAAACTTAAAAATTTTATCAAACATTCAAAACCAAGTATCAAAGCAAAACTCAGAGCTTAAAAATTCTCATTAAAAATTTAAAATAAAGTATTAGAGTAACATAATTCATATCAGAGTAAAAAATAATCAAAAATCCAAACAAGACTTAAATTAAAAAAAATAAACTTTATGTTCACT